ATAAACTTATGTTTCAAATGTCCATTGCAAATCCAGATTACCATTTCCCACTATTAAAAGAAGTAAAATGCATTCTTCAAAATATAGGCTTTAATTACATTTTGCTGTCTCAAACCTTTATTAGTGCCGCATGGTTGAAACAAAATGTGAAACATGTTCTCATTGATAAAATTTCTGCAAAGATGGCGAGAATCAAAGGAAAATTAATCTAAAGGTTCCTATTATAACATGTTTAAAGAGTTACCATCTCTAGAACCTTATTTACTAGAACTACCAATCACCTTACGCATCTCTCTTGCTCGTTTTAGAACAGCAAATCATAGATTACCCATTGAAACAGGAAGATGGTATAATATTGTGAGAGAGGAAAGAAAATGTACATTGTGTAAAAATTTTATATGTGATGAAATGCACTTTTTTTTAGAATGTCCAAAACTCTCAGAAATTAGAAACAAGTTTTTGCCTCAATACTACTGTATGTATCCTTCTGCCGTAAAATTCTCTCATTTGATGTCCATTACTTATAAGCCAACACTATTAAAACTGGCAAGTTATATAAGATCATGTATGGAAATGTTCCACTGACATGTTTTCTTCATTGTATCTTATTCCTGTGTCCAATTACATCTCTGTATCACTGCCGTGATTTACGAGAATAAACACCATTCATTCACCACGCGGGCTGTCTGGCGGGTATAGAGTCACGTGACCCATGTCGTCTGCTCATTGAAGCTGCTGCCCGCTCGAAAAGATGGGATATCTTATTGACGGCGTTATCAATATCCTTATAAATTTCATCACTAATAACCTTCATGAGTGATTTTGAAACATCATCAGTGATTATTTTATCAGAGACTTTTTGGCAGCTATCTCTCCAAACGCATCTTTCTATGTAGAAGGTGTCAGTAACATGTCACTGGCTCTATCCATAAGCTTAGTCTTAATATTCAATTCACAAATAATAGGAAAGTGATCAGATTCGTCCAGACTCAGCAAGCATATAATCCACTGTGCTACGTCCATTGTTTGCAGTACATGTGTAATTACCAACCTAATCCCCAGAAAACCTTCCATTAAGAAATTGAACACAATATATACAGCAAATTTCAAGCAGCCTTCTACCAAAGTTGTTTACCTCTTTATCTCTGTTTTTAAGGGGTAGTGAAAATCCATCGCTGTCATACCAATCACTAGCAGGTAGATATTCTGCATTGTCATCAATAATGTAGTCTTCTTCAACACCTGTTCTACAACTAAAGTCTCCTATTAACAGTAATTCTGCATCATATGTATTATTCATTTCATAAAGTGTTTCTTCAAGAATATCGAGACTGTCTTTATCTGTTCCCTCATAGTAGGTTGAGTTTTCTGGAGAGATGTAGAGAAATCCAACAATTACATCTGTTTCCATATTCAACTAGTTTCCATCCAAAAGAATGTAAACTGCATCCTGAACACATTGTTCAATTCTCTTGACACCATAGCACGTAGACTGGTGAATAAACACACCTATTCCCCAATGTCTACCTTTACTTCTACAGAAGTAAAACACCTTATAGGAGGAAAGAAAGTCACACAGTTCTGAATGTGAGTAGCACCATGTCTCTTACAAACTGACAATCATGTATTGTGAAAAATATCGTTAATGTTACTGTTATGTTTATGCTGTTTCAATGACTGACAATTCCAAGAATATTGAAATTGTTTATACAGGAGGAATGAGTGACTTTGTATCAATCAAACCCTGGCCACACCCCTATTTCAGTTCAATGAGTTCCTCTGTTTCAATATTTATATCAAAGAGTTTATTGTCAATCATTAACTTGTCAAAGCGGAGATAGGCTTCCTTGCTGTCTTTCCTGGCATCAAGCACATGTGGGATAAGTTTCCTCCTCTTTTGTCTCACTGTGAAGCTGTAGTCCTCGCTCACCTTGAATGGAGACTGCTTCAGCTTGTTCCTGGCACGGAAAAGAATGTCTGACTTGGTCTTACTACTGGTAAGCTTAACCACTATTGGTCGAGACTTACCCCCAGACCTCTTCCTACCCACTCTGTGTGCTCTGACTATCACAACTTGATTCCCATCCTGTGCATTTTCCATTTCAAGTTTATCATAATGTTTCTGACCTGTTCTTCTTTTTTACTCCTTTTTGTAAACCCTTTACGATATCTGCAAGTTTCTTGACTGTAATGACAGGACCCGGGTTAGTTTCCACATCACTACAAACAGTTATTGTCAACATCATCATAACGAAAACTGTAGCCACACAAAGTGACATACTCAAAGTCGGGATTCTAAACTTCACCTTCAGTTTTCTAGGCGAAAAGGTTCCAATTTTCACTCTCGATGTGACAATGTCCACTCCAATACTGCTTTTAGTGAGTTAACTTGCCTTCTTTTATGACTTTACAAAAAAAATATTGATGAGCTCGTTGTTTCATGTAACTGTCAGGGGAGGTCACTCTATCATGCAAGTATATGAAAATATATTAAAAAGACATTGCATAGTCTGTGCGCATTAAGCTAAAGAAACAGTTTCACTTTTTGTGTATTGTATTCCAGACACATATTTATTTAAATAAATACATTTAGCTGCCGATGCTGAGGTACTCATTATTATATTGATACATAAAACACAGTGAAAATACAAACAATGAGATTAATAACATGATAATAGAACACGTTGACAACCAAGTCACGTGATACAGTAAACGTTTTACACGTTGGACAATAAGCATCCATGACTTCCAGAACTAAAAGGGCGTACGATTTTAGATTGATACTTAAACGACTGGAATACCATCACTAATATGTTATCCGGGACTCTCTATTATTTACTCTTATTCAGGTGAGGTGAAATGGGGTTTAACGTCGCGTCCAAGATTATTGCACTTATATAGCGACGTTACTCTTATTCAGTCTTATATTTTGATGTCTAGTTTAACTACACGAAGTTAACATATCGCAGCCAAATCGTAGATTTCAAGTTCATTGTACCAACAGAGTAGTTAAGTTAGAATAATTTTAAGTAAGTTTAAACAAAATGGCAAGACACAGAGATACTCCCGCATTTATACCGGAGACCTCCTGTCCACGTTTGAAAGCATGTCGATACCCGTCTGTCCAGTTTGGAATCTTTAACAATGTCTTAACACATGTTGGTCATTTTATGCAAGTTTTGATGTCCTGGTTTGCTTTGTTAATTGTTATAGGCTGGTCAGCAAAGAGAGTCAACAAGGGTCAACAAGGGGAGTCATCTGGCCCCAGGAGGGGAGTTAGCTGAGCCTAGAGGGAGTGTTTTGAGTCTGGCTAGAGGAGTCATGTGAGCCTAGGCCCTTATGACTCGAGAGTCTTTTGAGCCTATGCCCATATGACTCTAGAGTCAAATTTAGGGGGAGTCGTTTGAGCCTACTACATCGGTTCTAGAATGTCAATAGCGCTAGCTGATTAACATCTACCAGCTCGTTTGACTGGTTTCGACAGCTTGCATCTCGAAGCGTTACGTATAATGATACAAGTGAAAACTGAAAACTATGTAGCGTTTACTGGCTTGGGAATATGAAACCAAAAGTAGTAGAATATATTTGAATTTGATAAAAACTTGGCAGAAATATATAGTAATTTTGACACTTTTATGGTATGACAGACATTACTCTGTACCCTGAAACAGGAAACAGTGATGCACAGTGACATGCTTCCGGCTGGACCTTGAAACACACTAGCGTTGTACAGTGATATACATGTGCATATGTGGATCCTGAACAGACAACACTGTTATAGTATGACAGGCAATACTCTGTACCCTGAAACAGGAAACAGTGATGTACAGTGACATGCTTCTGCCTGGACCTTGAAACACACTAGCGGTGTACAGTGATATACATGTGCATATGTGGATCCTGAACAGACAACACTGTTTTACAGTTACATACATCACTCTCGACCCTGAAACAGAGAAGTGTTGAACATTGACAGGCGTCTTTCTGGACCCTGAAACAGATAACAGCGTGAAACGAACAACAGAATTGTACATTGACATACATCTCTCCGGACCCTGAAACAGACAATAGTGTTGTTCAGTGACGGGAAACTCTCTTGACTCTGAAATTGACATCAGCGTTGCTCGGTGACAGGCTTCTCTCTATATCCTGAAGCAGACAACAGTGTTGTACATTGACATACATCTCTCTTGACTCTGAAATAGACAACACCGCTGTACAGTGACAGATGTCTCTCTGAACCCTGAAACAATCAGCACTTGTGTCATCTTCCCGAGGAAAGGGTGTTAATTAATGTACAAAAGTCCAGTTTCCACCCTTGCCGAATTACGGTGGAATTTTCTGGCTCGATCGTAGCGCCACCAGTGGCTATTACGAGTTGACTAATTGACCAATCACTTGCATTTGCTTCAAACAAAATGGCGGCGCCCAGCCAGGACGATCTGATCAATAATCAAGATCTATAGAGTAATAAAACGGGTTTTACCTCGCGAAGTACATCAGATCACTTGAGTACGTTGATTAAAAACATGAAAAGATTTGGAAAGTATGTGTCGACGCCCAGTTGTTGGTACACTGCTTTGCAAATCCTGCAGTCGACCGAAATGTGCACCTTTAATTCCATGTTGTTTGCGAAGCGGTTGTCTCGTTCGTCACGCGATTTTGATTGAACTGTGCATAGACCCGTTAGTCCAGCCAAAATATAACTCCATAATTCTAGCCTAGTTCGGCAAGGATGGAAACTAGACTTTTATAGTCAGATAACGCCGTTCCCTCGGGAAGATGCATTTGTGTGCACTTATTTGGGGGACTGGCTACATCATTCTGGAACAGCGCCACAGGGTCTGGCAGAAGTACAGCGAGAAGCGTTACTATCCGCATTGAAACATCACTGATTATATTGGCCAGTTAGATACCTACGATATTGGTTTAATTGATCCAAACGTGAAAGCATAATAACTCATTGGAACATCACTGTTCTACATGTTTTACATACTTACTGCTTGGACTGGGTGAGCCGGATACACTTTGAGATACCATGGTAAAGGACCGATTATGTGCTGTTCAATTCGTTGAGGGTGAAATGTGTCTCTTCCAAACTTGTCATAAGACACGTAGGCTTTGGCGCCTATCGTCTCCATACAGCGACCAACATCCACATCCTCATCGTTACCGTCTTTAGCGCAAGGTTCATCCTCTCCAAAGCCTTTCTCAACAAGCAAGCGTAGAGCTTTCTTACTAATAGCATAACTTCCGCCCCCACTCATATAACCATTGTGAACCAAAACCTTAAAATGATAACCAATGTAAACCGGTTCAAGTGGGGAAAATTTTGATAAAAGAAAACGTAGATTTTCCATGATCACATAACTGTCGTCGTCCGCTTTCAGGACCCAGTCGTAGGCATCACCGTATTCCTTGTAAACCGTTTCCAAAGCTTGCATAGTTTTGGCTGTCAGATGATCGCGACCGTCGAGGACGTCCAATGATATATGATTGAACTTGGAATGGTGGGCAACAAACACGAACAGCAGTTTGTTACATCTTGCCCCCCACGTCGCATTCACTGCATGGACTTTCGTATGTTCGTTCTGGATCGTTGTTGGGACAACACATAAGATCCGTACTCGTTTCTGTAATTCTCCGGAAATTGTGTTATTAACCAGGACTGCAAGAAAGACAACTCTGATAATATACTGAGTCAAATTAAAAACTTCAAATTTTTAAAAGTAATCCCATATATGATATACAACGGACACATGTATCAGAGAAGGTAATTTTTAATCATTAATGTCCAAAGAAGGATTTAATTAACGGTGGTAACCAGAATTTGTTCCAAGCACCTACGGTATTCGGTAATAACATCAACAGTTTAAATCATAAGTCCCAAGCACGACAATCTGATGGCACACAAGTTCAGTAGCGTGTATGGCCGCCATCTGCGTTGACAACTGCCACACAACGTCTCCGCATGGACCTTGTGATGCTTGTGAACACATGTTGCTGCAAAATAGTGCCAAGATCTTGCAAATTCTGTGGTTGGTTCTGGAGAGTGCGCAGACTTCTGCCAAGAGCATCTCAGACGTGTTCGATGGGATTGAGGTCGGGAGACCTTGACGGCCAGTCCATGACGTTGACTCCCGCATTCTGAAGGAAATTCCTTGTCAAAATTGATGTGTCGGGTCTGGCATTGTCGTGTTGGAGGATCAAGCCGGGTCCATGTGCTGCCATAAAAGGCAGAAGTTCTTGTACCAGTACCTGGTCGCGGTAAGCAGCAGCGTTGAGGTTGCCACGGATGACAAGAAGCCTGGAACGTGCATTGCCACCGAAAGCACCCCACAACATGACACTTCCGCCGCGAAACCTGTCAACTTCCTGTACACAACACTGGGCGTAACGTTCATGGTGGCGCCTCCACACCCTCGCCCTACCATCAGCAAATCGAAGATTAAATCGGGATTCATCACTGAAGACGACTTCATTCCAATTCCTCTGAGTCCATCGTTAGTGTCGCTGTGCCCACAATTGACGTTGACGTCAGTCAGAATCGGACCGCAGTATGGCCGTCGTGCTTGAAGGTGAGCAGTTCTCAGACGGTTTCGAACAGTTTGCGCGCTCAGTCTACCCCTAAACAGTTCATTTCTGGTTGATGTAGCCGTCTAAAATCGGTTACGGAGGTGACATAAGACAATATGACGATCCTCTGCATGTGACGTCACACGCGGTCGACCTGGCCGAGGGCGATCAGCGGTGGTACCCGTTGGCTGTAGACGCGTCTGTTAATCATAAACCGTCCGTCGACTACAACACATCGTCCTTGTGACTTAAGCTACGGACGTTCCCGTCTGCAACATGCTGATGGCACGTTCACGTTGCACATTTGAAAGGCGTGGCATGACAAATGGCCGTAATGTCTTTTGTTTTCTTTTGTTTTTCTTTTTTTGTTAATGACTGCTAACAAGTATGGCTGAAAACACGTGCGGTATTAAGGCCACGTGACCAGTTGCACGTGAAAAAACACTTTTGCTGTGCACATGATTTTGATCGATTCACCAGCACAAAAACGGGTGTTATCTGAAGACAATACGTGGCCATTACTGTTTAAATACACAATAAGGGCCCACAATGATAACTGGGCAAAATGTTGAAATTTTAGGATTGTGGAGTTTTTAATTTGTTTCAGTTTATATCAAAGAAAGCATATCGACATACAAAACAAAATCTAAACTATGTGAACGCCACTCCACAACAAAATGGACGCCGAGTTACTTACTTTTTTAAATTAGGAATTTAACGTGCGCTTTCCGACATATGCGTATTTCGCGCACGGGCCCGACAGGCCATTTGGTGTTATGTCCGAAAAGGCTTTTCAACTGAAGTCATTCGAATTAATATCGGGGTCCGGATCAATGAGTTTTTACTGTATGGGTATTGTATCAACACCGAATAGATGGTATCAGTCAGAGAAAGCATGACGTCAGCTGACCTTATGTTACGTGTATCTTAAACTCGTCAACACTCGAAACACTTTTCAGGTATCATGTTCCATCGGTTAACATGACGTTCAATTAGGCCGACATTACGTTACATGAATCTAAAGACGTCAGACCACAATCCTTATCTCCAGAAAGATTTCTCAAGTCTTACGTGCCATCGGTTAACATGACGCTAGCTGAGACCGACATTATGTTACGTGTATCTAAAGACGTCAGACGGCTCTCCTTATCTCTGGTAAGATTTCCCAAGTCTTACGTGCCATCGGTTAACATGACGTTGAATGAGGCCGACATTACATCCCGTGTATCTAAAGACGTCAGACCACTCTCTTTATCTCCAGAAAGATTTCACAAGTCTTAAGTGCCATCGGTTAACATGACGTTGAGTTAGGCCGTTATTATGTTACGTTATCTAAAGACGTCAGACGGCTCTCCTTATCTCTAGTAAGATTTCTCAGGTCTTAAGTGCCATCGGTTAACATGACGTTGAATTAGGCCGATATTATGTTACGTTATCTAAAGACGTCAGACCACTCTCTTTATCTGAACAGGGACACATATTTTAAGTCTTATATTCTCATGTCTGATAAATGGGGTATGATCCGGACTAATCCATTTACCACTTGGGTTACAGGCATTAGACATTGGGAGAACTCAGCCGTGACATTTGTGATTTTAAGCTATCTGACAAATGAGATGTGTGACAAATGGGGTGAGACCCAGTAACCTACCGCATCTTGTCAAATTGCTTACGTGGTCAAATTACGACAAACGCCAGCCAGTGCATACTTATATATGAGCATGCTACTACCACCTTCCTTGTCAACTACAACAACAGATGCATCTATAGTTTAAAGATCACGGACTGACACTATAAACAGAGCAGCCAAAAATAATAATGAAATTATATCAATACACGAAAATAGAAATAATATCAATACAAAAACAGAAATTCTACAAATACCAAAACTTGCAATAGATATGTGTACCCTACTCACATACGTGAGTCCCAAAGAGGGACACGTCAGCCGAAATTGCTATGGCAGAAGGCGACCTTTAAACACTTTAAAGAAACAACAACTGAGCTACCTTTTCATCACGCTGCTTCCTCCTGTTAAAAAATAACACGTGCAAAAGATACGCCTACGCCATATTGCAGACACACAGAAGATACGTATACACTACTTTGCAGAAACACAGATGTTAGGTATACACCACATTGCAGACACACACATGATAGGTATACAACATATTGCAGATGCAAAGGAAACGTATACACCACAATACAGACACGAACGATACGTATACACTATATTGCAGACACACAGACTATACGTATACACTTTTTTTTGCAGACACACAGACGATAGGTATACACAACATTGCAGACAGACGATACGTACACACCATATTAAGACACACAGACGATACGTATAAACGACACTGCAGACACATAGACACTACGTATGCACCATGTTGCAGACACACAGAAGATACGTATACACCATATTGCAGACACACAGAGGATAACACTGGTAAAGCAGGTGATGTGCACAGTTATTAGGAACCGTTCAGAAAGGTATTATAGATAAGGGAAAGAGCTTTCCAGGTCAGTAGGTCAGTTATGCCGTTATAGGACATTATGATTTGACAGAGCATATCCAACTTTGCAGAATTGGAATTAAATCCATCAAAATATCTTAATCGCTAACGACAAGACCATATGCATATGGATGTAGACACGTTACTGACTGTGAGGACTCAGCGGACGCGGCTGGCTACATAGAGGTGAACAGGGAATAGATCTTGGAGTTCAGTCCAGAGCAGTTCGAGTTTAGACGTCAAAAAGACGTCAAAAGATTGTAGTTCGTGTTAGTCTGCCTGGCGCACGGCATTAAGACGAGGGGTTAAAACAAGGATTTACCATCTCATAATTAGTACATTGTGTCTGAATGGGATATTCATTGAAAACTGAGGTATGGTATTTCAATTGGCTGGTACGATTAAACTGACACATGCACAGGAACACGACTAGTATGAGCAGCCACACGAGCATGCATACATAAGTGATATCTTAAACGAGAAGTTAATCCCATTTCACATAACCCCACTAGCTAACTGTTTTGTACAATACGTTTAATCATATTTAAACCAACAACAAAATCCCTTTCGATTTGCGAACGCCTCCGTGGTCCAGTGGTAGAGCGTCCGTCCCGAGGGAGGGTGGTCCGGGGTTCGACCACCGGCTGCGTCATACCAAATTACGTTAAAAGATGGTACATGTTGTTTCCCTGTCTGGCGCTCGGCATTAGGGGGCTAAAACAAGGACTGGTCACCTCGGAGTCTGTAAACTGTGTTTGAATGGGGCATTATTCATGTTAAACTGCGGCATGGTATCTCAGAAGGCTAGCACTATACATCGGCATCAGTCCTGACTAGTACAAACAGCTACATATAGGCACACGTGCGTGCACGTCGCTGTATAAGTGCAGTAATCTCGGACGCGACGTTAAACCCCATTTCAACTCACCTTTCAATTTGGTTATTCCAATATGTTGTGATAAGAGCATGTTTTTAATCTGCATTTAGAAGATGCTTAAGAGATATATATTTCCAATCAAGATACCACAGTTTGGAGACGTCTACTTTTTTAGTGCATTCTGCTAATATAAAATCTCTTCTGCAACCCGAATTATACATAACAGTACTCAGAGACAAACGATTAGTTGGAGCAATGTGTAAATTTCGAATATCTCTTTACAACGTTCGAGTCAACATTATTCGCAAAAGGTCATTGTTAAATATACTTCATACAGAATCCATATGCAAAGAATGTGACCTGCATTTATTAGAGGATGAATACCATGACATTGTCTTTTTTTTGTGTAAGAAATATATTCAATTGTGAAATACTTTTCTTACCTCATAACACAGAAATATTATATAGGTAATATTACGTTTGCAAGTTTATTTAAATCCTCTGATATTATTGTCCTAAGCTTGATAGACCCGTGAAGATTCCGGGGTAGAATAGATCTTCGGCAACCCATACTTGCCGTAAAAGGCGACTATGCTTGTCGTAAAAGGCGACTAACGGGATCGGGTGGTCAGGCTCGCTGACTTGGTTGATACATGTCATCGATCCCAATTGCGTGGATCGATGCTCATGCTATTAATCACTGGATTGTCTGGTCCAGACTCGATTATTTACAGACCGCCGTCATATAGCTGGAATATTGCTGAGTGCGGCGTTAAACAACCAACCAACCAACCAACCGGGGTAGAATAGGTCTTCAGCAACCCATGCTTACCGTAAAAGGCGACTATGCTTGTCGTAAAAGGCGACTAACGGGATCAGCTGGTCAGTCTCGCTGACTTGGTTGATGCATGTCATCGATCCCAATTGCGTGGATCGATGCTCATGATATCAATCACTGGATTGTCTGGTCCAGACTCGATTATTTACAGACCACCGTCATATAGCTGGAATATGGCTGAGTGCGGCGTTAAACAACAAACAACAATGAGTGACTAATTGGCATTTAGCTCACTCACTATATTTATATAAATTATTTTAAATGAGATCGACAGAGATGTAACACTCTTGACATGTGACCTAAAACCTAATTTATCTTACAACTGTACTATGGGCCATGTGGCCTGAATTACGAAATAAACTTGATTAAATTTGCACGTTTAGGCTTTAATTAATACAATTTATATATAACAGTATATATAAAATTCCAGTCAATGTGCAAAACCAGTCAATGCGTAAATGTGACTGACTTATTGCGCGCATGTTTACCCACGTACATGGATGGTTGCATACATGTGTGTATATATGGCATGAGGGATGGGGTATTTGGGTATCTACGTATATTAAACGTATGTATTCCTCTGTGTGTGCGTGCCTGTATGTATGTTAGTGGATGTGGGGTTGTGCATGTGGGGTCGGGTGTTTTTGTAATAATTATATATTGTTATATATATGACATAAATATGAACGTATATATAATGACTTTTGGATATTTGATGTTGTGTTGACCGTGGTGTATCATAGACCAGCAAATGGCCGGATGGTTATTTATACTCACTGTTCCGCAAACTAGCATTTCTCCATGTAAGGTCTGATGTGTTTCGGATGGCTTCTGCAAATGTTATGATGTACTGGTAACATACTGTCAAGAATGGCATGATATAATACAAATGACATTTTCATGATGTCGAGGTGTGTTTGTTTTACACTTTCCAAATTTCCAGGATATATTTGTCTTATACTTTTGGAATTGTCTGTGTTGACATATTGGTAACATACTTTCAGCAATATGTCTCTTGGAACTATTCTCTGAATGTTGCTTCCCCGTGAATATGCGGGTTAGGATGGGTCTTCAGCAACCCATGCTTGTAAGAGGCGACTAACGGAAGGACAGGCTCGCTGACTTCGTTGGTGCACAATTTCGTTTCTAATTGTGTAGATTGATACTCATGATGGCAGTCACTGGATTGGCTGGCCACACTCGATTACTTACAGAACGCCGACATATAGCTTGAATATTGCAGAGTATGGCGTTAAACAACAAACAAACAAATAAACATCCTTTTTGTATTGAGACTCACGTGGTTGTTCTCTCCGACACACATAGCACACATACAGGAGCGCGACAATTACCAAAGATGGTATGCTCCACCATTTCGCACGAGGATTATGGAATCTACAAGGAATGAAAGACATTATTAGATGCATAGATACAGATTATTTACATCGAACGCACAGAAAACCTCAGATTAAACCTTAATTGGTGTGAATGTTTCAGAAAGCAGGATAACAAACTGTTTCTTATGTGATTTTTGTCTAAATGTTAAGAAAAACGGGTAAATTGTCATTGTAGTGACACATATCCTGACGAAATATCAGCTCCCTTGGCTTTGTTGTTTCTGAGAAAACGATGCTATAGAATAACACTCCATTTAAAATAAAGCCTTACAAGCATTATCATACTAGCATAAACAAGTCTAGATCTGTGTGCCTTGTGTTGTTACACATATCAAGAAGCGGCAAAAATAATAACAACACAAAAACAGCAATAACAGCAGTAGTTGCCCCAGGGGGAGGCACAGAACACGCCCAAGAATATCTTGGACGCAACAACTTAAGTCCACACTTCTTGAGTGTGCGAAAGCAACAGGGTGGCAAAAAATACCAAGAGTAAATGGCAAATTGTTGAAGCAGCATTGGGACAAAGCCATGCCAATGTACATCTCACAGAACAAAACATCCGTGACCAGCTCCCGCGACTGAAATTATATTTGCTCCGTGAACTTGGTGGGCTAATAGCCAACACTCGTCAGGCGCCTTTGCAGGAACCCTCAGTTCTAACAGTAGCAGACCCGAAATTGCAAATGAACGTTTGCATTATTCTTCCTAAATTACCTGATGAAAATGTCACTGATGACCCACACATGGGATCATAAATGAAATTCCTGATGGTTGCCCCGAAGATTTTGAGTTTTCTCCCTCTTCCGACCCCTCTTTTGTCAATGATCTTACTAATGGTCCTTTGTATATTTTGTTTATGTCATCCTATAATCAAACCTGTGATTTACCCATTGAGAAAGGGAGGCCAATTAAACATTTTAATAAATTCCACAGAAATTGATAAATTAAATTAAATCATCACTGTCACTCTCAATGCGGACTGTTCATTAACTGTTGCGTGTATGTTGCTGCTCGAACATTGGAGGAACTCCATACAGTTTCCAAAGACAATAAACCACAAAAGGGTAATAAACAAAATCTTCCATAGAAAAACCGGTTCCAAATAAAACTAAACGAAACAAGGAAAGACATATCTTGGATAGAACTTTGCCTAAAAGTACATTCCTCGGGGCAATCAATGTCAAAACGGCAAAAATCAGTTTGGAAAACTTTAAAAACAAAATACAAGACAACAGAGAAGATTCTTAATCAAATTCTTGATTCTCTGAAAGCAAAAATAAAGGTTTGGACAAATAGAAAGTTTGACAAGAAAAATAATTTCATCCGACAAAACAAATTGTTTAAATCTAATGAAAAACATTTTTACAGGCAATCAAAAACATCCAATGGCAGTAATGAGAAACGACCCACCTTGGATTCCAGTGAAAGGTTTTGAAAACAGTTGTGGTCTATACCCAGCATCTGTAACCTCGAGGAGGTGAGGTGAAATGGGGTTTAACGTCGCGTCCAAGATTATTGCACTTATATAGCGACGTGCATGTACGTGTGTGTGTTTGTGTGGCTGCTTGTACTAGTCCGGACTGATGCCGGTTTATAGTGCTAGCTCATTGAGATGCCAGAAAGGGATGTCTAGGTTGTAAGGATCAACTACTAATTCAGAAAATGACCTTTGAAGAGGCTAAAACTTACCACCGTAACCGCTCAATATGTTGGTTAGACTACAGAAAAGCTTATGATTCTGTACCTCACGAATGGATTTTGAAGTCTCTGGAATGTATTGACTTCCCCGACCAACTACTTGTTTTACTCAAGTCTTTAATGACTTGCTGGTCAACTCAACTTGAGATGTATTCGCAGGGGCAGGTGGTGACTTCGGAACCCATTTCTATTAGAAGAGGAATATTTCAGCGCGATTCTTTTCGCTCTTTGCTTTTCTGTTTGTCACTAAATCCTTTAAGCTTTTTTTTGCTTAGCAAAGAGGAAGGTTATCATCCTGGACCTCCTCAACACAGATCCCCAACACACCTTACTCACATCCTTTACATGGAAGACCTTGAACTTATTGCCAATGGAGGATCCACATTAAAAAAACAGATTCTCCTTGTCGAGTCCTTTTCTAATGATATCAGCATGTTCTTTGGCCTCGAAAAATGCAACATTCATCATCTGAAACGTGGCAAGGTAGAAGAGGGTGGATCAGTCAGTTTACTTGGAGGAGTTATTGAGGATCTCGTAAAAGGTCAGGCCTATACGAACTTAGGGATGCAGATTAGGGACAAAGTCCAGAATGCCAATATCAAGGAAAAACTTTGGACAGATTACAAATGTAGACAAAAGAAAATCTGGAGTTCAGAGCTGAACGCTCGCAATAAAGTCAAAGCCACAAATACTTATACTGTAACCGTCCTTTCATATTCTTTTGGTTTTGTTGACTGGACGAAACAAGAAATTCAGGGTACTGACACCCTCGCACGAAGATTTATGTCAGATAATAGATCCCACCACCCTCGCTCTTCCCTCAATCGCTTATATTTACCAGTCATTATGGGTGGACGTGGTTTGATTAACGTTGGGGTTCTTCATGATAGAATTGTTTTGTTCACTTTTGCACACATTAATTTGTCTGAGGATCCCACAGTCTTCTAAAACGAGCCAAGGATGTGGGACATAATCTCAATGTCGGTGTTGATTTTGTTGATGGTTTTCGTCTGCTGGACGGTACAGAAATGAGTGTCAACCAAGCCAAGTGCCACATCAAATATGCCCAGATTCAGTTTTTCAAAAAGAGGCTATCTGAACGACCACTGCATAGAGTTTATGTGCAGTGTGTCAGCTGACCTGAAAGGTGAAACAGAAGGCTTTCTGTTTGCTGCACAGGAACAGTCACTTCCAATTCAAGTGTGAGTGAGTATTGTTTTACGCCGCTTTTAGCAATATTCCAGCAATATCACGGCGGGTTCCCACTCGAAACCGTCAATGTGTGATTTTGCATCAAAATGTAGATATGAAATGTAGATTATGTAATGGATTTAATGAGACTGTCCAACACATTGTCAATTGATGCCCAGTTTTGGCACAAACACAGTACCTTAAGTGACATGATGGCATGGCTTGTTCATTTTATTACCGTCCTTGCCATGCTTGTGGTTTTGACACAGAGGTCCATCCATGGTACGACCCGGAATATGTAGAGGGCGTCATGGAAAATGATAAATACAAAATTCTTTGGAATAGGCCAATTTACAGCCTCTGACGTATCCAGTCTGAGGCTGTTTAACTTTAACTTTAACTGTCCCCGTGTTTTTTTCAGGTGAAAATTGACTTGACTTGACATTCTATGTGTTTGTGAATAGTGCCACTTGTGGGACAGGATACGCCCACCTTTTCGCGAACACTTGGGATCATCACTATATGATCGTGATTCGTTACACAAATACTCATGATATAGTTGGATCCGTAAAGTCGGCAGAGATGTCTTTTGAATATGGAAAGCGTTTTGTCGGAGATAAAATGACGACATATCACAAGCATACTTAGATCGTTGGTGAGTGAGTGATCGAGTGAGCTAAATGCCAATTAGTCACTCGTTGTTGTTGTTTAACGACGTACTCAGCACTGTTCCAGCTATATGACGGCGGTCTGTAAATATTCGGGTCTGGACCAGACAATCCAGTGATTGACATCATGGACATCGATCCACGCAATCGGCATTGATGACATGCATCAACCAAGTCAGCTAGTCTGACCACCCGATCCCGTTAGTCGCCTCTTACAACAAGCATAGTCGCCTTTTACGGCAAGCATGGTTTGCTGAAGACCTATTCTACCCCGGATCCGATTTGTCAGTCATGCGTATGCATCGCCCTTACTACAATTTGTTCAAAATAATATTACCTTCTAAAGAGCCATGTTTTCATGTTGTGGTGACTGAAACAAAAAAGTCAGCGGTTTAAAAATGGTGGCTCACATACAGAGGGGATGCAGGGAGGGGATGTCTCCTCCCTTTTCAGACATAAGAAACATTTACAACATGATATTTTATATATGATATAACATATTTTAACAAAGTTAATGTTTTTTATATGTTTTCCAAAAAAATCATACGACTACCAAACCCAAATTGCCTCGCGAACTTTTTCCATCATCTGTCATGTAAAGTTAACACCTTCATTACCTCAAAGTCGGAATCAGCAATGTATCCGTTTCGGCGGATATTCAAAACTGTTTTTTCTCACATATAATGGTTTGTTATTTGAGGCCTTGTCAGTGGGAACAACAGCAAACTTTTCATGTAGGTCAGCCAGGCTTTAGGTTTCAGCTGGCCGGGACACAATGGGTTTGTTTCATTTCTGTTTTCTCTTTTTTTAAATTTGTGCAATCTACCAATGACAACAGGATGCACAGATTTAACCCACCCTGAAAAACATTCAACAGGTTCCTCTTCTCTTTTGGCCCATTTATTGGCATTTATGCTTTGACAGCTTCCATATCGAGTTTGAAGTTGTGATCCCAAGTGGTAGGAGACTGCTCGCGACATTCAGGTCCATATTTGTCCCTTCATGGACAGTTCCCCACACAGACAGACATTTAGCCACACAGATATTTTCCCACATGGACATTTCCCCACACATACAAATTTTCAATCACAAACATTTCCTTACATGGACAGTTCCCCACACAGACATTTCCCTTCATGGACAGTTCCCCACACATACAGACATTTAGCCACACAGATATTTTCCCACATGGACATTTCCCCACACATACATTTCCCCACACATACATTTCTCCACACAGACAGTTTCCCACACAGAAATTTCCCCACACAAACATTACCCTACTCAGTTCCCCACACTGACATTTCCCTACTCAGACCGTTCCCCACACTGACATTACCTGGGCATTTCAGGATGTCCCCATTCCCCCACACCCAAGTTTGTTTTGTGAGAGTTAATAAAAGGAAGTTTGGTGGTGTTTTTCTAACATTTATCACTAACCATAAGATGATATTGGAAATAAATATAGACTGGCATGCTGTATAGGGATTGTGATCAGAACAATTAGGTGTGACCATATTGACATGATATCATTTAAGGGTTCATGTTTTTTTTTACAGTTGCCCAATAATACTGATTATTGATGCTAAGGGACACAAAAGGTAACTGTTATTTTTAGAGGAAATTGGTAGTGAATGTGGACCCTTCATCAGATATAGTCTTGGGATTTAAAAATGGGGTGTTAGTCTGCCACAAACAATATATTGAATATATTGTTATAAGGTGTTGAATATTTTAAGAATGTACTCAGGTTCATAGTCTCATGTGAGGAAAATCTGGTTTTGCAGCTGTGAGCTAAAAGCATACCCAGCCTCCATACAAAATATTGAATTGAAATAAGTTAACTGTTGTGTAACCTTTGGATTACCTTTGTGGAAGTGTCAGTTCAACATAGTGAAAAAAGACAACCATCAAAGAAAATGAATACCATTTTCAACGTAAAAAGCGCACCGCGCTAATAAGCGCTCACGGCGATATTTGCTAATATATTGGCTAGTGAACAGTCCCAATAAGCACCCCTTCCGATTGATAAATGTACACAAGACTATTTATTCGTGCATAATACGTTTGTTATATGCACCCTTAATTATGGGCAATTAAATTCTGGAAAGATAATATCCGTCGTTTATAAACGTTTTAGGCTGTCAGCATAAAGCACGAAATTTACGATCTTTCAAATCTGTTGTTTTTCACCAAAATAATATTCTATTAAGAGCCCCCTATTTCTAATTTTGAGAGCGCCCTGGGTGCTTATTATGTCGAATACGGTATATGAATATGTTATTTGTTACCAAAATTCTATTGATATATCATGAACTGTAATCCATTCATGTACATAATTAAAATTCATTGATTATTCTAATAATTAACAACTATTATAAGGAACAGAAATCATACATTATATATTAACATTTGATGTCCCTCTTGAAGTTGACAGTACATGTATTATGCTTTGTCTTTACCAGTAACAATCTCACTGCCAAATCTCTCAGCCTTTTCAGGGGGCACGGGTGGCCCAGTCGTCTAAGGCGCCGCGATTCGCTGTGCAGAATTGCTTCCCTTGGGCACGCCAGAAACCTATGATTGTGGGTTCGAATCCCGGTTCGCCCCGATTATGTTTCTAGGTTTGTCAGCACCATACCCGTGCTCGTGGGTTTCACCGAAGTGGTAAACGTCTGAGACCTGCATCACTTCGGGCTTTCCTCCCACATTAAGCTGACACGCCGTGATATAACTGGAATACTGTTAAAAGCGGCGTTAAACCCAACTCACTCACTCACTCACTCAGCCTTTTCACTGTCCAAACGTCTTGCCTCTGATCTAGTTAGAGCTAATATTGATGTTATCACTTCATTATGTTCAGGTCTAGCATATGTATATCTAATCTTCATGACTTAATACACTCTTCAAATAAGGATATTTATTAACCATATGTAAGACTAGCTACACAGAATATGCGTGAACACAATCAAATGAAATTAGACACAGTGATCGATAAAAGCATTGTCGTCATTGTCAGCATTAATTCAGTTCAGTCATTGCACATGTGTAGCCACAAGGGGGCGTCATGGTCAGTACCTGGTCACACCACCTCTTGCAGCCGTCACTGCTCGACACCTTGGCACAGATTGCACAAGTCGTCGGATTCTTTCGTGGGGAATTCTTCGCCATTCCTCCTGTAAGGCGTTCGCGATTTGTGCCAGTGTGTGTGGACGCTGGTGACGTTGACGGACGCGTCGATCAAGTTCGTCCCACAAATGTTCAATCGGGTTGAGATCAGGCGATTTGGACGGCCATAGAAGGACATTGATGTTCTCATTAACAAGGAAATTAACTGTTGCACGTGCTGTGTGGGGCCGAGCGTTGTCATGTTGGAACAGCTCCCTCTGGCGGTCCAAAGTTGGGAGGAGGTGAGGATACAGAATTTGGTCTATGTATCGGTTTGCTGAAAGATTGCTCTGGACAACCACTAACTGTGATCTACCCGTGTAGGATATGGCTCCCCACACCATGACACCCTCCACCAAATCGATCCACCTGTCGAACGCAGTTCGCCACAAAACGTTCATGTCGACGTCGGTATACACGTTGTCTTCCATCCCGTCATTGAGGAAGAAAACGTGACTCATCGCTGAACCAAACGCGTCGCCAGTTCCTGAGATCCCATGCCTGTGTTCTGTTGCACTACCGGACACGTTGTTGACGGTGTACACGTCGCAAGACAGGTCCAACTTTTGGTCGTCTCGCTCGAATTCCCACTTCCCTCAGACGATTTCTGATGGTTTGGTCGGAAATTCTTCGCATACCAGGCACTTGTCCTGCAGTGTCCGTTGCTGTAGCAAATCGATTCCGAAGGTGATGCAACCGGATGTACCGATCCTGAGCAGGGGTGGTCACTCTTGGTCTTCCACTTTCTGGGGTGATCTTGAGTCGAATTAGTGCGGGTATATCGATCCTATAGTCGAGGTATGGTGCTTTGGTGAACGTTGAAGTGTCTTGCAACGGGACTCCCCTGCTTCCAAACGTCCAATGGTGATATTTCGGTCAGCTGCAGTTAATCTTGACATTTTTCGATCTCCGTTCACGTCAGAAAATTCGTAATGAACTGATGTATTTTGTAAGGTATTTTATAGTCAGTGCCTCTAATCTTGTTTCCAACACTTTGCACGTGCATTGTGCTAAAAACTTTTTCTGAAAGCAATTTCCGTGCATCCTTTGCATTTTTGCTGATAAACGTTTACAAAAAAACATTTTGAGATGTGTTTGCGCGCAATGCACAACAAACATGACATGATTAACGGGAATCAAACAGAAGAGTTGTCTTTATGAGGGTTGCTTGGAAAAAAATCTAATTGGAATTCTCAAAACACCTATGCGTTTCTTTTTTTTAATAGTGTATGTTTGTTTATTGTTAGGCTCAACATTCTCACTTCACCCTTCCCCTCGACTGTGACTGAAGTTTTTACTGTGATGTTATATATTGCAGGTTCCAATCCCACCATATAATAGTAATATGTTCTTGTATATTGAGTGTCCTTCTACTTCTACAACCTATGCTAAATAAATAACTTATTCATTTTCATGATTTTCACATTACCATGAGCCTATGATGTGTAAAATGAATGAAGAACTTAGTAAAAAGGTTAAATATCACTTTGTTCAAGATAATGGTATGCGTATGAGTAAAAATAATAGAGAATATTTTCATTACAATTTGGTTTAGTCTCATGACGATCGTTTGTGCGCATCATTATTTTTGCATAAAAAAATCCCTCTGTAGTAGCAGTATTGGGTATAAATCTGGTTCCAGTGGAAGTGGTCCAGAATCCCCATTACTTATACTACTCATGATGTAGTCATCCTTAAAGAAAACTAAGCAATCTTAGCAAGGCTTTCGTTCCACACCGCGCGTAACCATTATGACGTCACATCGCTCATTGTCGCGCAAAAGATAAGAGGTCACAGTCGTATATAGAAAAGCGCCAAATTTCAAGCTCTCTGTTCTCTCCAAAACATAAATACATTCTCTTTGTAGATTTCTATCTTGTCTTCTGCACTAAATGTATTGCGACACATTCATGGAATATTGTAGTAACCTCCACTGTGCATTTTGTAACCTGTAATTGTAGATATAATTATTTGAATATGCCTACCGATAATGACTGAAAAAAGAACTATTCTATGAATATAAGCTTCCGTGGGGATGCGGCCATCAAACCAGCTGTTTCAATCAGAGGGGGTTTATTGTGATTTAATAGCCTCTGATTGGAAAAGTCATCTGGAATTTGATCACAGCAAACATGGTGAAGGAGAAAGCTTCAACTGGGTGGAAAAAGTTGCCAGCATATGCTAGGATACACAACGAAAGCC